AAACAGACCTGGTCTATAGAACAGACTGAGGCTGTCTAGGGCTAGACACAGCTGGTCTATAGGACTGACTGTGCCTGAAATCTCCATTCTGGGAGACGTCACTAACTTTGAGGAGCACCTGTTTGGTTTGAAGAGTGTGGGGGGGGCAGGGTTGGTTGACAGGTAAAATCGCAGCAACAGATGTTGACGAGCTTAACTGCAGCACATTGCAACTCAAGAAAACCGAGACCAATATGAAGCTGTTTAATATATTGTCATACATTAAGAACCTGGTGTTAAACTCTGGACATTTAGTAATGGTAAAAGTAGTATTTCCACTAACATTACTGTATGTATGATTTCTTTGGCGTTGCACGGTAAAAAATAAACTATGCAGGTCATACAAGGAGACACTAGAATTTGAGACACTTTTTCATTTTTCACTGCTGAGGTTATTACACGACAAAATAATGCAAATATAAAATGCAAAATAATGCAGTGATCTTTTCTGATTAATCCTATTTTAGGTCTAGCTTATTGCTGTATTTCGAAATTTTTATTTTCGTACTTAAGTGGAAAAATCCGTTTACATTAGTCCTTTTTCCATTTTTAAACGAAATTGTCCTATTTAGAATAGTATTTTGTAAGAACGAAAAAGTAAGGACTGAGTATATATGCATTATGAGAGGGTTTTCTTTTATTCCATTATATCATCTTGTTAAATCCTGCAAAAAAAACAACTGTTTTGAGGGCTCTCTTATTAAACCTGTTTTTCTTTAAAAAGTTACGGTTGAATGCGGTTCAAACCTCACGTGACCTGCGGGCTACACACGCCGGCTACGCCAAACGACGTAGAGTCCGTTCTTGTGACGCAGCGCGTTGCTATTATGACGTCCCGCTGCGTGCCCCGTGCGCTTGCTTTTGGAAACCCCTGAGTGTCCGGAGGCGCCGCCATAGTGACACAGAAGGGAGCGGAGAGGGAGCGTTGTAGATTTTCGAAGAAGCGGTCAACAGTTGTTAACTTTCTTCTTGTGAACTACAGCCAGGGGATATAGACTGTTATTTCTTTTTTTTTTGGTGGGGGGGTTGTATGAGGGTAGATGTGTTTTTGTGAAATACCGTAGGGTTATGGAATTGTTTGTATTGCCATACGGAGCCGGCGCTGTTGATAGCCGTCTTTGTTTTGGTGGAGAGAAAGGGAGGCCATTTTAGGCCTCGCTCTCTCTTTTTTTTTTCTTTTGTTTCATTTTCGACAGTGGACTGAACGGATCCTTCTTGGGAGTGAAGGAGGGGGACTGCGCACTTCCGTTTATCGTTCCTAAGCCTGGATCAATCCTATTTTCGCTTGCGCTGTCGTTTCGGACTTGTCGGATCAGCCCCGTGGCGAAGCCAGAGACTTGGCGAGCCCGCCCGCCATGCCGGCCTGTCTGCGCGGACTCTGAAGCAAACCGACGCCGCAAGGCCCGTTTAGAGACCGCGGCTGCGGGACCGTGCGCCGTTGACGGTTGGATGTTTTTTAAGCCAGCCTTTGCCGAAGAAAATTCATTTGGACGTTTTGTCTGAAGGAGATCTGGGACCCCGTGACGGGGGGTGGGGGGGTGTTCTGAATTATGGTGGACTTTCAACATCTACTCGTAACATTGCCGTATGACTACTAAAACTGATGGTCTTGTGCTTGTTGTGGTAGCGCCCGTTACGTTACAGTAACTCATGATTTCAATTAAACCCGTTCATTTAGCTGATCTGTGCTAGATTCTGTGGCTCCGCGGATGTGAAGCGTAATGCCATATCGTCTTCTAGCGAGCGGAAAGGGCACATTATCTGACACACCTGATTGTACGTTCTTATTTTGTTTCCCTGTACGAACCAGGGTAGTGTAATCTGCTATAACAATGTCTTGTGTCCATTATAAATTTTCTTCTAAACTTAACTATGACACGGTCACGTTTGATGGCCTGCACATTACGCTGTGTGACCTGAAGCGGCAGATCATGGGCCGAGAGAAGCTGAAGGCTGCGGATTGCGACTTGCAGATCACTAACGCGCAGACCAAGGAAGGTAAGACAGTCACTCGCTTTGAAACGCGCAGCGTGGTCGTCTTGGCTCTGTGCCGAGCGTGTGTTTGGATTTGTACTGTCGCCGGTAATCGGTAAAAAAAAAAACGGTCATCGCCGTTTTGGCTTTGGGGGTTCGTGTTCGGAGCTGGCGTTTCAAGCGAGCCCGCACCCGAACTTGCGGGTCCCGTCCGAGTTCGGAAACGTCTCCGATACACGTGTGGCACACCTGGACCAGTTTGAGCCCGCTTCCTCTTAGATCCGCCAAGTATCATTACTTGATTTAAAAAAAAACAGCACCAGGAGGGGTAACAGTGCTTTTTCCAAGTTGCATTTTTTGATCTGGTCGGAATGGCGATCGCACGATCGCTTGTGATATTTGGAGACGGGCTGGGGACGGGGAAAATGGCCGGCGGGTCGAAGAGGTGGATTGCAAACGTCCGGGCCTAGCGGTTGTTGTCCGTGGACATGCTCCGCCAGTGACCCCTTCAGGTCGCACTTGGCCGGGACTGAAGGCATCCATTTTGTTCCCTTGCCGACAGTTGTCAAGTGCGCGACAGCAAACGCGCTGTAGATCTTGCAGTTCTGCTGGGTGAGTTGTCTGGTGAAGTCTAGATGTGCACCCTGTGGGTGGTGCGTTGCTAAGAAAATGTTCTCGCAAGGTGGTTGTCGGCACCTTTATTCGGTTGTCTGATTGTCTCAGGGACAGGCCCAAAGCACAACCAGAGAGTGGTTTGATGCACTTGTTTGTAACCATCAGTAGTTTGCAGTCACTTTATTCAAGTATTTCCAGAGTTGACTTCAGGGACCACATTCTTTTGAGTCTCACAGAGCAGTAGGCGCCGGTATTCAAACTATCCTGTTGTTTGGTTCCTCAGAGTACACTGACGATGGCGCCCTTATCCCCAAGAATTCCTCCGTCATTATCAGAAGGATTCCTATTGGTGGGGTCAAAACTGCAAGCAAAACATTTGTCATGTAAGTATGGATTTCCTTTGATATCAGTGGGAATGAGACATTCCATTTTGGGGGATTAAAGCCCTAACCCAGTTTTGATTCGACTGGGTAGACGTAATTTGGTGTGTTTTTGGTGATTCATGAATTGGCAGCAGTCTGGCAGATAGTGGGATTAAATTTACCAGTACACGTGCAAAAAATGTGTTAAAGGGATGATCTCAGGCTGTGATTAGTGATCATCTTGAGTGCCAGTAGTCTTCATTTGTGGTTTGTGAAACATAAATTGATCTCTTTAGTTTATTGGGAAAATGTTTTACAGCGATGATGGTAAATTGTTCTATTACTGTCCTCTGTGGGCAGTTTACCAATTCTCTTTGGAGTCTCATTGAAAGTAGCTTACAACAGCTTTTATTCGTAAGGCTTTCTGTAGTTTGCACTGTGATTTTTCATGAACTGCACTGATCTTATAAGGAGGCTATGATAGAAACCGTCTGAAGATAATCTTTTTCTTTTCATTTGCTTTCCAGTGATCGTTCTGAACCTCCAAGTGGACCTTCAAAAGCAGTATGTAAAAAAACAAACTCACAATTTCATTTATTTGTTAAATATATTTTATTCTAGTCATTTAAGCACATAAGTGTGTATCTGAAATTCAGAAAAAAATGTTTAAACTTCCTCTGATGTGAAGTGATAAACATCTGGTAATAGTTTGTTGTAACACAATGTATTTTGTGGAATGGTTTACCTTTTTAATTTCAATATTTGCACATTTGTTTAACCTGTGTGTAAATTGGTTTTTGTGCAGGTTAATGCACTGTATTTGATATTCAAAAGCGGGTGGAGTATTGCCTACAAACTGTTGTACAGATCGATGTATGATCGCTTAAGATCATGTTGGCAATGAAGCAAACATGAGAGCATGTTCAAAGCCTGTGTGTCTTTGAGTGCTGCTACATCTGTAAAAGCTGTTGTCTTTGTTTCTTTTGTTTTCTAATAAAAGTGTTTTCAGTGTCATACTTTTCATTTTACATTGTATCACACAGCTTATGTTTCTGACTATTCGTCTTGAAGGAAATTGCTATGATAAGGCACAGCCGTCTTTCCCAAAAACAGGCTTAAGGTCGTTTTGAATGATGTGATCTGGAATGGGTAACCTGGTTACAGCCAAGGCTCAAACAACTGAACTGACCCATAGGATTGGGAGACGTTTCTGATGTGTGTATTAAGAATGCACTAAATTCTGTTATGTCAAGTTAAATTGTTTTTCCAACTATGATTGGGGTTGCACTTTGCTTTATGGCAGCATTTATTTTACAGTTGCTAAGTTTTAGTCTTATGTTTACAGCACCCCAAATGTGCATTGGAAAGAAGTTGTGTGTAGAATCGCACTTAAGTTTCTTTTGGAAGCATCTTGATCGTCCCTTATTTAATGTGAAACCTGATTGTTTGAGCCTTAGCTTTCTTTAACACCTGTTTCAATAATGTGAGCTACATAATATTAGTCTTAGTAGCTTCTTATGTTTTGTTTTTTCTGACTGTAGTGCGCTCGGTCAAAGCTGCACCATCAGAAATATGTATTGTTACAAAATGAAACCATGAAATTCTTCAATGTAACAAGGGTAGCTGTTGCTCAGTATTCGAGGTGCCTAGAGTACATTGCAGCTTGTGCACCCTGACAGCTTTCTGAATGCATTAAGACCTCTCGTAAGGTTTCTGAATAATTCAGACTTGTACTGTTTCCACAAAACCCTTTAACCAACTTCTTCAATGCTCTGTAAGATACAGAACACATCATCTGTCAATAAAATCTGTATGGCATTTTTGAGCACCTCTGACATGGCCTTGTGTGTTGACTTTCATGACAAGTCAGAAAGCAGGATATCTGTGTCACATCGCCTGCCGGGGTGGGAATTGAGAACATCACAGGCATTTTTTTGAATCGGAGCAAGGGCAATTTCTTTGTCCTGTGGTGTGTGCCGATGAGTTTCCCAGGGTGACCTTATCCTTTGCTGGATAATAGAACTTGAGGGAGTGCTGTCTGGGAACTGAATGTTAACCTTTTTGTTTCCAGATGGTTTTTTTGGGTATTTAACCTGTGGCTTTCATATATTTAGTGATTTTTAAATGCAGTCTGCCAACTGTTTTTCAGTCTTTTTTTAGATTGGTCAAGCTTTTTTAGGAGTCTTACCTAAAAGGTCCCAGATGACCTGAATAAATGTTATTTCCAGGCGTTCATTACTGTCACTGCTCTCGTCTTAGACTGGGCGCATTGTAAGCTGTAGAAGTCTTAGTAACAACTAATTGATCATACCATCTACACGCAACCTTAGAAATTGACCCAATCACACCATCATTTACCCATGTTGGAAGGGTAATTTTATAAACAAGGAATTTTGTTTCCTGCTGTTTTGCCCAAAGAAACGTTTTCCGCTTAAAACCTATGCCATACAGTCTATCAAAGTATGCTTCAAGTGGACAATTCTCAAAGCAGCTGTTTAAAATTAATTGTTGCTTTCACTAACCATTGTTTCATTAGCATTTTAATTAATGTGCTAATGTTTTCTCGGATGTGAAGATTTTAAAAGCTTTATTTTTGCTGTGAAAGCAAAGCAGTTGGACTCATCGATGACTTCCTATTTTGTAGAAACATTTGTTTATGAAATGCTGCGTGTGGATAATGTTTGTTTCAATCTAAATTGTCTGCTTTTTTTGTTTACGCGTTAAAGCTCTTATTTTAATGTTGGAGTCAATGCCCCCATAAAGTAAGAGTTGCAAAACGGTTCATATTCTCTTAATTTTAACAAGTTAAAACATTATACAGCCATTTGAGGTGGGTGACCTGGAGTTAAATGTTTTAATCAACATTCAGTTTGTTGCATGAAAAATTCGAACTGAAAGAAGTTCATGAATTATGAAAATACGGTAGCATTTTTTTAGTGACTTAACAATCACACAGGAAATCTGCATAACTGCAGCAAAACTAGCTGTTACGTTTTTACAATTGTGCCTTATCATAGCATTAAACTTGAATGTTTTTTTAATTTTCCAACAACAGATTGATGATTCTGCAGCTTCTATTACTCTGGCCCAGCTAACTAAGGTATACACCTGTTTTCTGTTGTACTTTATTATACCTCTTTTGGTTGATTATTTTGTTTTTCAACAAGTTTTCATCCATAGGAAGTTTCTGATAATCCCTGAAATGTCATAACTGTGGTTCTTGGGTGCTTATGTTAATTTACTGATTTTTATTGCCTTATTTTCATGGCATACTTAAATTCTGTTGCATCTAGGGTTTTCATTACATTGTGAAGACATAGTACCTATGCAGCACTTCAGTCACAGCCCCACAGAACCCTAGTTGGGCAGCTTTCATATACAGGATTTATTAACAAAATTCTTAACATCACTCTTCTGAAATGTATTCTGCCATGTACTGGAATTTTTTTTTTTAGATGCTTCGTAACATGGTCCTGACCGTTTTGTTAGGATTCATGCCAGTAGCCTGTTAATTGTTTAAATTACTTCAAGCCATATGCTGAGGCATCTATTTAACCTGACAGTTGCAACATCACACTGTTACTTCTTAGTATTTGTTAGAATGAATTCTCATGGGCTTATTGAAGCATCTCTGCGTCAGATTTCAAATTAGCCATACCTTTGCAAGAGAAAAGACTACGCAATTACTTATGGCAGAATACATGTCCAAGATGCATCTTTAGGTTTATCCAACATTCTTAAGGTTTACTTGAAACAAAACGTGGTTATATTACAGGATACTGAGTAACGTGGTTTAGTAATAAATTAATACCTCAGCTGTTTGCATACTTGAACTTTTTACATTTATTTCTAGGTTGTATTCACTTCTGCTATGCGGCCTATTTACATTTGCAGTGCATTTTTATATGAGATGGCCTGTTGTAATTCAAGACAGTGCAAAAATTATGTTCAGTGTACAGCCTGGAAAAGCTGCACCTGTTTCAAAGGGAGGTTGCTTTTTTTTTATCCTTGTTGCTCAGTATCCTAGTGATGGGAAAATGTAGTGGTGTTGGGTATAATGTAGCAGCTTGAGTACAAGCTGTGCAGTGCACGTGCTGTCCTGTGAAGAGTTTGTGCTGCTCTGATGTGGGGATGGAGGGGAGTACCTGTAAAGCCCTCTTACCTTATTATACAGTGGTCACACCTGTCCTGATACCATCGGGAAGTTTGTTTGCTGACTTCATGGAAGTGGGCCGAGTTGGTACCGTAATTCAACTCATTTGTTCCGTAATCGGGTTTTGTGAAGAGGAATATGCAGTGTGCTGTCCATTTCCGTATATGGGAGGACCCTTTCCGCTTGGTCACGGCTCTGAACATTTATGTCTTGTTTAAATATTCGTACGTTTTTTAAGCAGCGTAAAGGACTTTGTTCTTTGCGTCTGTTCTCTGTTGTGTTTTTATGCCATGTGAACTTGTATTTTGTGCGGTTCTTGAATAGAGGAGTTTGGAGAGTGTGCCAAAGGGTTTGTTTAAGCTCTAGAAAGAGTTAGCAGCTAAGGCATTCCTTCAGAAAATATTTTTTTTTCTTCTCCAGGTCAATATGGATGATATGGAGTAATTTGTTTTATGCAAAACTCTCGTTTACATGCTGGGATAAAAGTGAAACATTAGTATTTCCTCAGCCTGTAGTAATGTGCGAAAGTCTTAAATAGAAAGTCGGTAAACTAATTTTGAATCATGGCTTCAGTATAAAATATAACCTTTGGCTAACATTCTTCATTTTGGCAATGGTAAGGATTTTTTTCCATATCCCGTATTCCCGTTATGGCTGTTGTCTGTTCACACGATTCTTCTGTTATATTGCTTGTAGTCCTGTTACCACTGTTGAACTTTGAACAGCTGTTAAATTCCTGAAACAATTTATAGGTTTTCTCAGTTTGTACTTCGGCATATGTTGTGTTCTAAACAAAGATGTATCTAGGTCGAGCCAATAAACTGTTTGAACAGTTCGTCTGTTTTATGAATGAGTGGCTAACTTCAGATTCTGGAAAAAAAGGTTTTGACAGCAGGAAATGTTTGCTATCTCTTAGGCCCGGGGCATAACTGTATTCCATGTACTGCTATAAAACAAAGGTTGTGTAAATGTGTGTAAGTGCACATCAATGGATATTTTACTGTCTACTGGGGAAAATGTTAGAAAGTTTGATTTCCAGCACAGTTAAAATTGTAATTGTTCAATCGCTTGGTGTCAATTTCCATTATTTTTGAAACAGGAAATTTGACCAAAATTATAAGCTTGTGCTCCACAGTCTTTCCAGTCTTTTGTTGGTCTTGTAAATTCCTCTGTATAAAGACACCCTGATGTGTCAGAGGTTGGACATAATTTGTTTGTAAACCAGTAAATACAGGTAAACAAAGCTCTTTATTGTTCATTCAGAGGAATGAAGTGGAAGAAGGTGGAAAAAGTTGGTATGTATGTACCTTCGTGACCGATGTGTCAAATTTAGTTAGTTTTCGAGTACCTTTAAGTAAGTTTTCATGTATTCATTTTCTAGTACAATAGATGATGTCGTCCTTGCAGTACTTCTGTTTAACAAGTTATGCACTGGGCTTAATGGATTATTAAGCACTTGACAAGTGTAGACATCAATCCCAGACAGAATCACTGCATTACGCACACAGTGGCTTCAGGGACTCCCCATTTCATCTCCAGTCGGGTGTACAACATGCAGGCAGTCGGCTACTCTTTACAGGATATTGTGTGTGATCGTCTCTGGCTTTATGGAATGTGTTATTAGTATTTTTCCTAATTTGTCTGTCAAAAAATTGCCTGTTGCACAGACTGCCAATCTGGCTGAAGCAAATGCATCTGAAGAAGATAAAATTAGAGCTATGATGTCACAGTCTAACCACGAATATGATCCAGTCCAGTAAGTCATTTTAACGTAGTCATTTTGAACATTTACCATTTGTTTTTAACATCTTGCTGTTTTGTTGTGCAGAAGCAACTTAATCATGTGTTTTTGTGCAGCTATATGAAGAAGCTTGTGGGACCTCCTCCACCAAACTACACCTGCTATCGCTGTGGAAAGAATGGCCACTACATTAAAAACTGCCCCACTAATGGGGTATGTACTAAGATGTCTTTGTAACTTGTACATTATTTTAGTTTATAGGGTTCTGCGCCTATTGTGGAGTTATTTGCAAGTCAAATTGATGAGAATAGGAACATTTAATCGAGAAGCACTTTGCAGCTTCTCCTTTGACTGTTTTTGAAGTTTTAAAGTTGCAGGCATTTAACTGAGAACTACACACCTCTAAAGAAGGGTGTTATGTAACATAAGTGCTTAACTAGTATGTAGGTATTAATTAACCCTGATGTCTTGGCTAATTTCTGCTCTGACTTTGCATAGTTTGACCTTCCCAAAGGTCCCACTTATGTTGGTGAAGCAGTTTCTCATTTCTGCCACTGGTCTACTGTGCATTGAGACTGCTGGGGCACAATGGTGGCGAATGAACCCCCCCTTATATGTAAAGCAGTTTTTGAGTTCTTTGGGATGAAAACCATAATTTATATGCAATTAAAAATGTGATAATTCATTAAAATTAATAAACCCACAAGATGCCTCTGGGACCACAAAATCACCCTTATTTTGTTTTTAAGGCTTAAATATGTGCTATTTCTAGGACAAAAGCTTTGAGGCCCCCCCGAGGATAAAGAAGAGCACAGGAATTCCTCGCAGCTTCATGGTGGAGGTGGATGACCCCAGCATGAAGGGAGCGATGCTTACGAATACAGGCAAATACGCCATTCCCACCATCGATGCGTAAGTGCTTTGGAAGTCTTGCGTTCCGTTTACTTAGAACTGGAGATCATTCATTCATTTTGCATGCTTTGCGTGCGTTATTGTAAATAAAAGCTTTTATAAATTGGACTTTATGAAATCATAGTTGCTTTATGAGCATTTATATTAAGTGTCATGTAGTACAAACTCAGCTTTTTGACTTTAAACACCGCACACTGTTCATTATTTGGATCTGGTGTGCTTTTTTTTTTTTACCATTGCATATTGGTGGTAGGGACGTTTCAGTCACGGCTTGTCTGATTTTCGTAAACCAGTAATTTGACTGTTGTGTGTATTTTACATTTTGTCCCTGCTCTTCTGGTCAATCAGAGAGGCGTATGCCATCGGGAAGAAGGAGAAGCCCCCTTTCCTCCCACAGGAGCAGTCTTCATCCTCCGAGGAGGAGGACCCAGTGCCCGACGAGCTGCTCTGCCTCCTCTGTAAAGACCTGATGACCGATGCTGTGGTCATTCCCTGCTGCGGGAACAGCTACTGTGATGACTGTGAGTGTTTTGCAAGAAGCAGTACTGAGCCACAAACTGTTTTCACAAGTTGTTGCATAATTTGCACTACTGTAGAAAGTGTATCCGTCTCAGATTTGTTGAATTTGAAAGGTAAAAGCAGAACAGGTGAATGCTTTTTAGAGTGAAATAAACAGTGCACACGTGAATTCTATAGCTTTGATATATTAATAAATTTGGGGAAATTACATGTTGAGTTTATATTGTCAGGATTCCAGTTTTGTGTTCTCTCTTCTGGTGTTGTGTAAATGTTTTGGGGACTTTTTATTAAGTACATTTTTCTATCATGTCATGGGACAAGTAGCTGAATATTTCTATATACAATATTAAAATGGGGGTATTATTATATTCACAGGTATTAGGACTTTTCTTCTGGATTCCGATGAGCATGTGTGCCCTACCTGTCATCAGCCAGATGTTTCTCCTGATGCCTTGATTGCTAACAAATTCCTACGACAGGTATAATATGTCAGTCGGGCGTTTTTTACTGTGCGAGTCGGGGCTAGCTATAATTAATACCTTTGTCTTTCAAAACTAACTTTGAGCAGGATAATTAACATTAATTTCCAAGACCATTAACAGTTTTCAAGGCTTTGATTTGTGATACATTTAAAGGAAGGGCCTTTGCGCACTTACCAACAGTGGACCAAAGGAAAACATTTAATCGGGTGTAGAAATGGAAGGATCTTTAAGTACTCTCAAATGTGTGTTATATGAGCTAACACATGCCTGTCCAGGCTTGTAAAGAACTATTTCACCTGTTCTTCTCACTCTGTAAATGCAAACAGTGTTTCAGAAAAAGCTTGTTCTGCCCGTAGGCTGTTAATAACTTCAAGAACGAGACTGGCTACACGAAGCGGCTTCGGAAGGGGCAGGCTCAGGTGGCGCCACCAGTGATGCCGAGCCAGCCCAGGCCGCCAGTGCAGCGCCCAGCCCAGCCTCCACTCAGACTTCCCACGTCGAGGCAGCAGGACCCGCTGATGGCCAACATCTCCCGCCCCGCCGCGTCGGCCACGCCCCCCCCGGCCGCCCTGGCCAACCTGCTGCCGCCTGTGACCCAGCAGCCGCCGCCCGCCCTGCCCCCCTCTGCCCACGCCGGCGCGGCCTCCCTGCAGGTGAACCAGGTCAGCAGCGGGGCCGCGGCAGCAGAGGTGTCCACTTCCTCGCCCTCCCCCCAGCCCCTCGCCAAGCAGGAGGAGCCAGCCGTGGCCAAGTGAGTCCAGGCCCTGACTGACGGGCGGTTTGAATTAATTCCTCTACTCCAGCGGAGACGGCGTTGTGAGTGGGGGGGGTAGTTGTATAAAATAAAAAAGAATCATTTTAAAAGAATATTTCTAGCAGTATAAAATTAGTCCCGTCTCGCAGTTTGTTTTTGGATTGCTAAGTTACGTTTTTCTTTCCCCAACCTTCCCAGGGAGCCTGAGAAGGTTGTCGTCAGTGCGGCCCCATCTGGTCCAGTTTCATCAGATCCATCTCTGACCCCTTCTATTATACCTAAGGTACAAGGAAGAGACAAGGGGATTAAAGGGTGGCAGGTAACAGTTGAAAATCTTCATGTGCGCTCAATTCAGCTTTCTTTTCTGTCTTGGAACAAGGGGTTTCATGTGCCAGTGATTGGACACCCTCACTCCCTCGGGCACTCAATTCCTACAACAGGTGAGACCTTCTCCCAGTTCTACAGTTCGCTCTCATATTTCACCGAGTCCGTGAACTGGTCGCTTTGAATTGTTTCTAAAATTGACTTATTTCCTTCCAGGACAGCCATTACGATCTAACCCTCCCCGATCTGGAGGCAGCAGACCCGCCTGGGAGACGTACGTAGAGTGACTGAGTTTAATATTTTAATGTTATTTAATCATTCAATTGATAAAGAATTTAATTCCTCTCAAGCAACATTTCTGATAAAAGTGAATTGGGGTGAATGTGCATCTCCAGTTAAAAGAACAGTTTTGATAATACTCGTAGATGAACCCGGGGAGGAGGTGGTTGACGCGTGTTGCATCAGGTGGGTTTCTGGGTCTTGCAGGTCTTCCAGCAGAGGCAGGCAGCACGGCGAGCGCCCCCCGCGAGCTCCGGCCGCCACCGCCACCGTGGCTCTCCCGACAGCTGCCCAGGCCTACGTGCCCCCCTCCCACTTCGCCCCGCCGGCTCACCCGATGCCCCAGCCGCCCGGTGTGACGCCCCAGCCGTTCCCGATGCAGTACGCCGCGGGGCAGGCCCCAGCGGCCGGCTACCCCTTGCCCCCTCCGGTGTACCCTCCTGCCCCGGCCACGGTGGCCACCCCCTGGGCCCCTCCCGGGACCCCGGCCGTGATGCCCAGCACATTGCCTTCCCTGACCCCGGCCCCCTTCCTCTCCAAGGAGGAGTTCTACAGGCAGCAGCGGCGTCTGAAGGAAGAGTGAGTTGCAGTTCTGTTGGTTTCTCTCAGCCCGAATCGACTGCACACGGTTCTGCAATTACAAATTGCTGACTCCCAGTTGTGTTGTTCGGCATTGACGCATTTATTCAGACCCTGAGCTGGGACATAAAAAGAGTCATCCAGCATTTTTGTTTTCATGTTTACCAAAAGTGAAGCTGAAATGTCTTTTTAGTCTATTAAGTGTACCGTTTTATGACATTTTTTGTAGTTCTGTTTAATTAATGTAGCCTTTTCTGACGTAGCAGCCTCAAATCAAGGATTATAGCGCAACCCGGTTCCGTCATAGTATTTGTCTGATAATCAGCCAGCTGTAGTTATGTGCACAGCTAAAGTGAGGTCTGCTTTGATTAATTTTTCCCTCTGTAAGAAATGTGTAAGAAAAGAACTTTCTGGTAGAAGTTGGAATGATGAAATGATGCCCTTGTCTGACATTTTTTTAACCTTCCAGTTTTATCTCCTTCCTGTTTTCAATAAATAGTTCCCACTGTCGATTCGTTGCCAGGGAGAAGTCCAAGCTTGAGGAGTTTACTAATGACTTTGCAAAAGAGCTTCTGGAGTACAGAAAGATTCAAAAGGAAAGGAGACGCTCTTACTCAAGGTGAATAATTAAAAAATGGTATAATACGTCGCGTATATTTCTTTAACGTTCAATGGTTTCAACTTTCCTGTTTGCTTTGTATTATTATGCACCTAATAGACACTCGTCTTGTTCTGATCCTTCATTTGCGATCTGGAGCTCGACACTCGAGCGAGCTGTTCTACTGCTTTCGACTCTGCATGAGTGTTGATTCACGGAAGGCGGTGCACTGCGCATGTTGTCACATGGCTCATTAATAATAATAATAATAATAATAATAATTGCTTACACTTATATAGCGCTTTTCTGGACACTCCACTCAAAGCGCTTTACAGGCAATGGGGATCCCCTCCACCACCACCAGTGTGTAGCATCCACCTGGATGATGCGATGGCAGCCATAGTGCGCCAGAACGCTCACCGTCAGCTATCGGTGGGGAGGAGAGCAGAGTAATGAAGCCAGTTCAGAGATGGGGATTATTAGGAGGCCACGATTGGTAAGGGCCAATGGGAAATTTGTCCAGGACACCGGGGTTACACCCCTACTCTTTTCGAGAAACGCCCTGGGATTTTTTAATGACCACAGAGAGTCAGGACCTCGGTCTTACGTCTCATCCGAAGGACAGCGCCTGTTTATAGTATAGTGTCCCCGTCACTATACTGGGTCATTAGGACCCACATAGACTGCAGGGTAAGCGCCCCCTGCTGGCCCCACGAACACCTCTTCCAGCAGCAGCCTTAGTTATTCTTATCCTCTCCGTGTCCCTTTCCTCTCTGCAGGTCCAAATCCCCCTACAGCGGCTCGTCCTACAGCGGCAGCTCGTACTCCTACTCCAAATCCCGGTCCCGCTCCCGCTCCTCCCGCTCCTACTCGCGCTCCCTGAGCCGCTCCCGGTCCCGCTCGCGCTCCCGCTCCCGGTCCTACTCCCGCTCGCCGGCCTACCCCCGGCGCGGCGGGCGGGGCCGCAGCCGCAGCTATCGCTCCAGGTCCCGCTCCCACGGCTACCACCGCTCTCGAACCCGCTCCCCGGCTTACAGGGGAGGGGGCGGCGGAGGAGGAGGAGGAGGAGGAGGGGGAGGAGGAGGAGGAGGAGGTGGGGGCGGCGGCGGCAGTGGAGGGTATCGGTCCCGCTCCAGGTCTCCGGGCGGTTACAGGGCCCACAGCCCCAGCAAGAAACCGCTGCCCCCCTCGCAGCCTGAGCCCGACAGGAAATTCCTGAACCGCTACCGAGAGGTGCCGCCCTATGACGCCAAGGCCTACTACGGCCGCTCGGTTGACCAGAGAGACCCGTTTGAGAGGGAGAGGTACAGGGAGTGGGAGAGGGAGTACCGGGAGTGGTACGAGAAATACTTCAAGAACTACAGCAACCCCGCCGGCAACCTGCCCAGGGTGCGGGCACCCCAAGCCAACCGAGAGCACTTCACGCCCGAGAGGTTTGCTGCACCCAGGCCCAGGGATAACTCCCCGTATGGCCGGGGGCGAAGAGAGGAATACCCGCCTTCCGGCCAGAGTCATGGGAACCCTCCGAGGGGCCGAAACGTGCCGCAGACCTACCAAGAGAAGTTTGCTTTCAAAGAAGCTCACAGCTTGGCAGTCGCCACTGCTTGCCCTGCCCGGGGTGGCAGCAGAGAGCCCCGGAAAGCTTCGAAAGAGAAAGAAATCGGTGGCAATTCTGCCGCAGACCCCAAAGGCCTTAAACACAAGAAGCACAGAAAGAGGAGGAAGGGTGAGGAAGGCGACATGTTCCCTCAGTCTGACACCCTGGAGGGCTCTAGGAAGTCGGGAGCTGGGGATGAGGGGAAAGGTGAATCCATGCTGATGCCCCCGAGCCGTGACGACGCCACTCCCGTCAGGGATGAGCCCATGGAAAGCTCTTCTCTGCCTTACAAAGCCACCTCGGACAAGGACAGGAGGGAGAAGTCTAAGGGCAAAAGCGAGAAGCCGAAACGCAAGCCGGAAACCAGCACAGTGAAGAAGGAATCCTCAACGGCTAAGGTGGTGAAATCGTCCAGGGACAAGCAAGCAGAGACGGACCGTGACAAGTCTCCCCGCATGGAGCCAGCGGTCAAAAAGGCGAAGGAAGATTCGTCCCAGAAAGCGGATGCCTCCAAGCAGCACGCGTCTCAGCGAGAGGACAAAGGCCCCCCTTCCCGGAGAGCAACGCAGAAGCCGGCCAAGCAGCTTCAGGAGCCCAAGAGCTCCAAAGAGGAGGTGAAGGCGAAGAAGGAGTACGTCAAGGAAAGCACCAAGCATGACAAGCCTCCCGCCAAGGAGGAGAAGCCCAAGAGAGAGGCTGAGAAGTCGACCAAAGCTGAGGAGAAACCCTCCAGCAAAACGGTGGATGTGAAACCAGAGAAACGGAAAAGGAAAGAGGAGAAGAGCACCGAGAAAGACCCGGGCGCCCCTCCCGTGAAGTTACCCAAGGTTGAGGCGGCCGAAGGAGCGAAGCAGTCGCCGAGGCCGAAGCCCGAGCCGGAGGGCGAGAAACCGTCGGAGAAGGAGAAGGAGAAGGCCGTCTTGAAATCGCCGACGGAGAATGAGGAGAAGCTGGCTCCCGCCAGGAAGATCAAAATCAACCGCGAGATGGGCAAGAAGATCGTGCCCGGGGAGAGTGCGGCGGCGGCGGAAGAGCCAGCTGAGGTGCCTGGGAAGGCAAAGCCCGAGAAGGCGAAGGCCAAGGTCCGCCGGAAGGTCCAGGCAGCTGATGGGACCTTCTCCCTCTTGGTGGATTATACCAGGTGAGATCATTCTTTTTTACATCAGATCTTTTATATTTAAATAAGACTTTTAAAAACCTCCCCTTTTAACATATTTGGTGTAATGTTAAAGCTAGATGCCAGTGTTTTTCGGCTGTTTTCCTTTTATCATTCTACCGAAAATGCGCATTAATCCCATAGTTTAACTAAAGATATGCGTTTGGTTTGGATTTATTTTTTGGTTTGTAGTATTTATAAAAGAGCCACATCTGTGCATTAATACCAACATATTTTTTATTATAAAAGCAATGATGTGAACAGAAGTACAGTTAATTAAAACCCCAGCAAAGCTTGTTTTGTCTAATATTTGCCAATGTTTGGTTTAGCACGAGTTCCACTGGGGGAAGTCCCATTAAAAAGCTCGAAGAAAAAGTGGACGCGAAGAAAACGGTAGTGAAGACTTTGGAAGAGTACACCAACGACAGCTCGACCCCTGCAGAAGACGAGATAGTCATGATCCAGGTCCCCCGTTCTAAATGGGAGAAGGAAGACTACGAATCTGAGGACGAGGAGGCCAAGTCGTCGGCCCCCCCAGCGGACGCCAACCCCGGCGCCCCGGCTACCGTGAAGCCTGCAGCTGTGAAACCGACCGCCACTGTGAAACCAGTCGACAGGGAGTCTCCCAAGCTAGACAAGGCCCCCCCAGCGCCGAAGGAGACCCCTGCCCAGGAGCCCCCGCCGGAGAGCAAGCCCACCAAGCCCGCAGCTCAGGGAGACAAGGAGAAGGAGAAGGAGAGGGACAGGGAGAAGGGGAAGGAAAAGGAGCGGAGCGCCTCGGACAGGGACGCCGCGGAGAAGAGGAAGTCGGCTACCTCTCACGCGGAGAAGGAGCGGGTCCCGGAGCGCAGCAGCGAACACGGCAGCGAGAAGAGCACCTCCTCCGCCTCGCACTCGTCCTCTAAGGACAGGGCTCCGGACAAAGGCGAGAGCGCCGCTCGGAAGCCGGCGAGCAAGGACTCCGCCGCTGCCGCCGACAGGAAGACGGAGCACAGCAGCAGCTCGAGAGACTATTCCAGCTCCAAAAGGAGGGATGAAAAGCCTAGAGAGTCTACAAAGAGGAGGGACTCCCCTCTCTCCCCCAAGGATCACGTACCCCCTCCAAAGAGCAGAGAGCGGGAGGCGCACGTCGACACTGTGAAGAAAGGAGCCGCCGAACCAAAGAGGACAGAGCACAGCCCCGCGAGGGACAAGAGGGTCCACCCTGACCACAAAGCAGCCCCAGACTCCAAGCGAACGGGGCCAGAGGAGCACCGATCGGAGAGGCCGGCCGGCAAGGACGCCAGCCGGCACTCGGATCCGAGGAGCACCAAGGACCGGGATCACGGCGCTCAGAAGCCAGCGCACAGGGCGGCCTCCCCGGAGCTCAGATCGGAGGGCGAGAGGGCGGGCGGCCGAGGGGACCGCGAGCACGGCAAGACCAAGGTCCCGCTGGTCCGCTCCGCGCGGCTGTCCACCGACCTGGCCCGGGAGACGGACGAGGCGGCCTTCGTCCCGGACTACAGCGAGAGCGACAGCGACAGCGAGGCCTCGGAGCCCGACGGCAAGGCCGAGCAGAGGGCGAAGGAGAAGGGCTTGGAGAGCAGCCCCAGCGCCAGCCCCTCGGGGAGCCAGGCCCGGAGCAGCAGCGCCAGCTCCACCGGCAGCCAGGACAGCAAGAAGAAGAAGAAGAAGAAGGACAAGAAGAAGCACAAGAAACACAAGAAACACAAAAAACACAAGAAGCACGCTGCTAACGAGTCCGAGTCCGAGATGAAGGGACAGAAACACAAGCATAAGAAAAAGAAGTCCAAAAAGAGCAAGGACAAGGAGAAAGACAAGGAGAAGGAGGACCAGAAACCGAAAGCGGCCGTATGAGACCTGCTAGAGGGAATGGACTCGGGTCTGCTCACGTCATTTTTGTAACAATATCAGTATGTTGTACAGAGAATTCTGCTTTGTAAATAATCAGAGGGATAAATGCACCGCATGTAAAAAACAAAACAAAAAAACATCGCTCCATAGCTTTTTTTTTATTTCGATAAATGGGGATTATAAATAAATAAAAAAAATGTACAGAAATGAATTTGGCCGTACAGAGGGTGTCACGAAAGAAAGTTGCAGTATTTAAGAGGTTTCCCACTCGGAAGGCTGAGGGTTATAACACGTCAGATTTTTGCTTTTAATTTTTAAGGCGTTCAGGCAAATATTATTTTTTTTAGGGAAAGGATCTTCAGTGCAAAAGATATTTTAAGTCCCCCTGAAGGGATCTCTCCTCCCAGATGGAATTCTGTTTTTAACACCCATGTGTGTACTACTTCTCCAGTAGAATAAAAATAAGAGCCTGGTGAAAGCACTTTATAGACAGAACGGTGTTACGACAGCCTGATGGAACAAAGGCGATTATGTACCTCATGTTTGAAAAGAGATTTCAACTAATTACATCTTTTCTATGTGATATGTATGGCAATAATCTTATCATCTGGAATGGATCTTGTTTTAATGATTTACTGGCATCATGCACATCCCTAAGATAAACAAGTGGGAGTGGGGATCTACTGTACTGTGAATTTTTTTTTCTCCACATTTTGTATTGCCTCAGTGGAAGGGCTTTCGTTTAAACGGCTATCAACTGAATTCTAAAGAAAAAAAGGGCCTTTCTATGTCATTTTGATTGTAATAAAATTTTTTCAGCATTTAAGGATGCCTCCCGTGTTTTTATTTTTATTGTGAAAGGGCAAAGTTGGCAGATGGGTTGTCTTATTTAAAAAATATATTTTGTTACACTATGTGAGCAAGCGAATTTAATGTAAAACAGGAGCAGTGAATTGTTTAACCTCTGACCTAGTAATTACAAACGTATCTGTAATTGAAATGTTCTGTATTAAAAGAAGGTACACTTGCCCTGGAAATCTGGGTTTTAAGAGGGAAATATAGAAATATCCATGGTATATAAAGTCTGCTTGCAATATTGAAATTGAAAATGGTGTAGATATTCTAGCAAATATTAAATGTATAATGTAAATGTGGTTTATGTAGGTGAGGATAAAGTGGGGGCAACAAAACCTGCTGCGATACTTGATTCTGCCACCAGGTGGCGTCAAGGCAGTGTGATCTTGTTTCCTTGTATGTGTTTAGTATCTTGAGGTTGCCATCCACCGATTTGAATTAAAAAACAACGAACTCTGCTAAGCAAGCAGTTTCGCACAATCAGTAAGGCTATCAAACCTGGTTTAAACTGATGACACCAAGAGGACGGTTGTCTTCAAATCTGAGGCTCGTGTTCCTGCTGGAGCGATTTTAATCCCACATTTTTGCTTGCAGACGTTTTATTGATGAAAGAAGAAGTTGAAGGACATTTGTTTTCCAACCGGTAATTAAACCGGAGCCCGGCGAGCCCCCATCCACCCTCCTGCACCAATAGGACATACGATCCGGGGTCTGACATTTCATTTTTGTGGATGGTGTGCTGTAGCCGTCGGCATGCGGGAGGCGACAGGAGGAGGGGCGCGCCAGCGATGGCGGAGCAGGTGCTCTCTCGGCTGCAGCCCCAGAGGGACACTCTCCAGCAGCCTGCGCGAGTCGGCCCGCGTGACAGCTTGCGATGCAGGAGAGGGTCTAAACCCCTCGCCCTGTTGAGCGAGCAGCCAGGGCTTTTAGAACCCCAGTGGGATGATCACCAGGAGGCCCCTTGATGTCTCGAGAGTACAGCTGAAGGTGCGCATTTGACCAAAACGCCCGGGAATCACGCCTTCGGGCGGCGGGGTGGGGGGAGGGTAATGGTGGGACATTGACGAGGAAGGGAAGCGGAACCCGGGGCAGTCGGACCCTTTCGGTTCCTTTTTACGTTTCCTGCCGTTTGCAATGGGTTCCACGTAGGGAGCAGAAACCCCCACACGCTCCTGAGCGGTGTAAAACGTCGAAGGTCACCCTATGGACATCCAAGTGCTGGAATAGGCAGAGCTCGGTTTCCCTAAGCCCTGAATCCCAGTCCGGTTACCCCAGCCACGCACAGAGTCACAAACGGCCCCCTTCAGTGGAAACGTTTCTCGGGCTTGTTCGGTTTTGTGGCTCTGGTGAGGAAACGGCGTGGCGTTCTGCTCCTGTGTGGATTCCTCCCTGCCCCTCGCCTGTGAAACGGCTGGCGAACTTCTCTATTTTAAGGGATTGGGCGGGTGAGAAGAGGGGGGCACTGGATGGTTATTCAACCAGGAAAGGGGCATTGCTCAGGGGCCTGTCTCTGCCCACGCTGTATCATCAGGTAGATATCACCAGCCTCATATGTTGGATAACGCGTCCATCTGTTGTCTTATCAGCTTTATCCGACACAGGGTCGAGGGGAGCCTGTCCTGGCAAGTAAGAGGTACACCCTCTGTCCATCACAGGCCTCAC